CCTATGCGTATTTTCGCTCCGGTACCACTAAACTCACGTTATAATAGACCCTATTAGCGCTTCTAGGAGATATAAGCACTATAATAATAGCAGTTCTAAATATACTACGTAATATCTCCTAATATTCTATCCTAATAATAGTCGCGGCGTAGTATTTGAAATGTTATGTTCTTTCCTAGATATCCTACTAAACCTAATTTATATGCTTGCTATATAATAGTAGTTATAAGGGGTTCCTATATTAGTAACTAAATAACGCCCCTCTAAAGCAAAGTGCCGTGTGCGCTAATTATATAGTCCCTAATCTATTGCTTTATATTAGCTAGAACTAGGAAAGACCTAGCGCCTTTCTAAACCACATTAAGACGCACTTAGTATATCTTATCTTCTAATACTACTTTGTCCTATAGTGTCTATATATGCAGGTTAGCAAAAAGGCTAGCGCCCTTTAGTAACTTAGACGCCTCCTCTGCTTCTAACACTATAACCTAAATTAATTTAGGGCGCATTACTAACTATAGTGTCGCTTTAGAGGAGTTTAAGTCTTATAGTTATCTGCTTAAGGTATTAGGTTATCCTACAAGATAGCTAGGTCTATACTATAGGATATACTAATATCTTAAAAGTTCCTCTGCCTAGCAGCAGTATTACTTGCTTAAGCTTTAAAGGCTAGTAAAGTACTTTAGGTTTTTATAGTTTATAAATATTATAAATAGTTTATAAATACTCTATAACTCTACTAACTAGCTTTTAAGACACTTAATAATAGCTAGCAATTCCTTATTATATATAGTGTAGTTTTGTCTCTCTAGTATTAGTACTATAGAGTAGTAAGTAACTAGGCGCAAGACGCCCCTAACTTTTTGCAACAAGCACCCCCTAAGAGCGCATCCTAAATAGTCTGCTTCTAATAATATTTCTTTAGCTAGGTCCTATTACGTTAGTACTAGTCTAGATATAAATACCTTTTTTAGTGTATTAAATGCACTCTATTCTTTCTCTCCCTATTTAAATAGGGTGTCCTTCCTAGTTAGTTAGTTTAAAGGCGCTGCTACTTTAGAAAACTTTATAATAAAATTATAGTAGAAGTTAGTAAAACCTAGAAAACTCCTTACCTCTCTTATATTCTTAGGGGATTCCTATTTCTATACCACCCTAAGCTTTTTAGGGTTAGGTCTAAGTAATTTGCCTACCTTAACAATATAGCCTAGGTAGCGTACCTCCTTAACACTAAAAGTATATTTCCCTAAATCTAGGTGTAGTCCTGCTTCTTTTAATAGCGTAAGTATACACTTTACTTTTTCTATATAGTTAAACTAGTCTCCTCCTAAATAAATTAGGATATTATTAAGGTAGGCTATTATATATAATCTAAGTAACTCTATAAGCGTAGTATTAATATATTATTAGAAAGTAGATAGCGCACTACTAAGAGTAAATAGATATACTAACTATTTATATAACCTAAACTAGGTGCGGAAAGCTATTAAGGACTTATAACCTTCTACTATTCTAACTTTATAAAAGGTAGTATAAATATCTACTTTTATAAACTAACTTACACTAGATATTCTACGCAAAGTTTCCTTAATAAGTAGTAGTAGGTATTAGTCTAATATTATTATGCTATTAAGTATCTAGTAATCCATATAAAGGCGCTAACTACCTAATAGCTTCTTTACTAGTAATACTAGAGCTCTAGCTATAGAAGAGCTTGCTTAGATCTAGCCCTTATCTATTAATCTAGTAAGTTATATTCTTAGTTCTAGCAATTAGTTACGCAATATAGTGTATAGGGGACCCTATAGGGGGTTAGGCTAGGTTCTATCTAGGAGAGTTATTAACTAAATATAGTAATCTATACTACCTTAATAAGGTAGCAAACTACTTGCTAACTCTTTATTAAACAGGTCCTTAAACTCTTGTAGTTCTAGTAGCAACTTTATCTTTCTAGTTTTATACTTAGGTTTATAGGGAACTGTGTTACTAGCAATATAGATAGTGTGTATATTATTAGGACTTCCCTTATTAATACTTCCTAGATATTTTATTAGGCGTAAGTTATATATTACTTATAATATATCTAGTATATTTATTATAAAAATTTATACTTATATATCTTCCTATTAACATTCTTAATTTAGTAACCCTACTATAACTAAACCTAAGATAATAGAGATATAGGTAGAATATAGGCGTCTCCTACTCTCTTATACTACTATATTTCCTACCTTCCTAATTATTAATTTGCCTTATAGAATATCTATAACAACACCCTCTCTATAAAGCTATAGTCTACCTAGTATTAGTTAATAGGAAAGACTAGGTACTATATAAGCTAAAAGCTAAGACTACTAACTATCTAAATTATAGTCTAATACTACTAACTATATAATTCTTATACCCTTAGTAATTCCCTAGGTATATTATAAGGGTTGCGGGGGAATATTAATAAAGGTTCTACTAATCTATCTTACTAACTTTTCCTTAACTACACTAAAATACTAGTACCCTAAATTAACTATTACTTATATATTCTCTACTCTACCTAGGAGGAGGGGAATAAAGAAGGGAGGATTATTTAACCCTACCTTAATATCTAAAGGATACTTAATAGCCTCTACTATTAATAATTCCTCTATTATAGTATCCTCCTTATACCCTTAACTTAGCCTAGGGTTAGAGGTAGCTAGTTTCCTAAATTAGGGCTACTTACTAATACTATAACTATCTTAATACCTACTAGTTATAGTAATAAGGTATTAGGATATACACGTATAAAATAACTACCCTATCTATACTAAGTATAGACCTTTGTAAGTTTCTATATATTAAATAGGTCCTATAGGATCTAGTTAGGACGTAATATTAGTAGTTTAGTAAGTACACTTAATAAGGCTGCCACTTCTACTATATTTATGTTGCTGTCCTAATCTAAGGTAGACTTTTACTAGGGTTCCTTAGACTTACTAGCCTAAAGAAAACCTAGTTCTAGAGAGGCTATTTTAATGTCTACTATAATTATCTTGTATTCCTCTATAGCTATATTATAGTTTATCCTAGAGACTCCCCTATTAAGGGAAACTAAGCGCATATAGCTATTAAGAGATTACTAAAGTTATAAAAGCTTCTATTTATTATCCTAGTGTAACCCTCCTAACTATATAAGAAGCTACACAAAATTTACAAAGAACTCTATAAAAGGCTAATTTTAGCCCTAATATAAGTGTTCTAATATAACTTAGGCGCGCTCCTGCCTATAATAGTTACTGTAATAGAACGCTAGGTAGTTAAGAAACCTGCTTATATCCTAACGCTTGCGTGTACTATCCTTAAAGTATAGTGCTATAGCGCGCTAGACTATAGGCAATAACTAGGACTAAATATATATAAACCTTGCCTTCTTATCCCTAATAAAGACCTTATCTACACGTAGTTTAAACTCTATAGTTATTTACTAGGAGGAGAAGTTTACCTTAGTGCTATTATATAGTAAGCTAACTAGGAAGGGTTTGTAACGTAAGGTAGGAGAGGGCGGAGGCAGCATATTATTAAACCTAGCGGGCTTAGAGGAGGGTTAGGATAGAATCTAATTGCGTATTTCCTTGTTCTGTTAACGTAGTATAGCTATTATAGCAGAGTCTTAAGCCTATTATTCTATTAAACTATAGACCTGTTGCATTAGCCTTTCTACTATATTAGGTTGCACCTGGTTATTCTAAACATCTAGCGCGTCTATCTCTTATTACTATTATAGTATGTTTAGAAGAAGATACTAAAATATTATAGACTAGCCTTAAGGGAGAATACAATAAGCGTTAATAATAGTATTTAGTATCTTAAAGGAGAGATAAGCCCTCCACGCCTTTTTATAGGTGTCTAGTGTGTTCGCTTAGTAGTGGTGTTAGACTTGGTCTGTCTTGTGTTAGACCTAGGCTTGGGCATAAGCCTAAGCCCTTCATAGCTACTGTAATCTGGTTTTGTACCATAGTGTACTACGTAATACTAGTAGATTAATAGAAGTAGAAATAAAAGCAGTTTACTTTTGTAGAATACATAGTATAATAAACCCTATTTAGGTTTACTTCTTCTACCTAAACCACTTCTTAGTCTACTTTAGATAAATATGGCTACTGTAAACCGGTTTTGTACCGTAGTGAAGCTCTTGAACAACTGACTGCCCAGCAACACATAATGCATGGCGCTATTAGTTCAACTTGTCCTAGAGTAAGAATCATCAAAGGAAGAGAAACGAAATGAACACAGTGAACAGTAGTAGGCTTGGGCAACCTTGCAAAGGTGGAGAAGTTACCCCGTTAGTCCTGTAGTCGGCTCCTTCGGAAGGGTTAAGGCTCCCAAGTTCAATCACCTACCGGTACTTTTTCTTCCAGGACATCAGGCAAATCATCATCATGCATCGCTGAGAAGCGAACTCATTACAGCACGGACGTTTGGCCCAGCGCTTGTCCACCTAGATACTTTCTGCCAATGCACAGCATGTGTGTTACATGAAGTCTTTGAATGAGCACCACATCTGTATCACGGCAGAAAACAATTCTTGTACATAATAGGGAAAGAATGAATGCTTATCATGGTTGCTATATAGGTAGGTACAGGCAAGAAACTGGTACAATTCAGAGCAGGGATGCTCAAGTGATGTTCTTTTGCAACCGAATTTCGCACGTCATTGACATTGATGTCTAGCTTTTCTCGGTGGCAAACCAGCAATTGTCGCAGCAGCCTTCTAACACGAGAAGAGTAGCTGACTGCTGTTCAGCAATAAATGAATCATCGAATCTGCGGCTTTTTAGACACCCAAAACATTGTGCAGACGTCTAAACGCCAACTTACCGAATCCCAAATTGTACCACGCCAAAGTCCCATCAAGCTTGTTCAACGCTTTTAGAATATCGGTACCAATTATGACCGGGATCACCCTTTTTCTTTTGGCGATAGAGAGATATTTCACAACCAACAAAACATCATTTGACTTACTCGGTATGACCTTCCGACAAAGCAACATCGGAGAACGGTGTGGAGCTAGTGAGTTTCATATGTTGCTCAATTGAATATCAGCTCCTGTCCGTACATGGCCGACGCTCATCATTGGAAAGATTTCAGGCTTCTCGATTGGAGGATAAGAAAGTGCAGCAAGATTGGGAATGTGAGTTGCTGGTGTGGTCTCGGCGCCCCAATAAAAGAGGAACACGTTCCCATGGTATCAGCTGTTAGCGATAATGTATAAATAAACGTAGCAAGCCGCGTAGAATAAACATTACAATTGGGTGTGCTTCTTCATTCGCCTCATGACGATAGCGCTACAATCCCACTATCTTACACGTCCTACAGCTTTGTTTTGCATGTCTTCGACCCAAGCACCTCTAAATGGGTAGCATTCCATGATTTGCTCTGTGAAGTACGTCTTCAATCAACCCCGCTGATAGCGTTCCATCACAGTCGCCCCTCGCCACCCGCCATCTCTCTAGTAAATCCCCGGGATAATCCTCCATGGCACCAACTCGACATACCGATCCCAATCCTTTCCATATTTCCGCCTGCACTTCTCCTCATCCCTGCGCTCGCGATGCACAAGCAATACAGCAAAATACACCATGAAAAAGTACGTGAAAATCATACCCCAGCCCTTTGCCTCACCGGGCACAACGTACCTGCCGTAGTTACCCTTGAAGAAATATGCATCGTTTTGCGCGGCTGAAATAGGCGCAGTGGCAACGTTCTTGATGACGTAGCCTGATATTGCGGTGGGAAGCACGTACGACCAACTCATGACCCAGTCACCCAAATAGTTGATATGACGGGCAGTCCCCCACCATCCGGAGATGAGAAGCTTGGAGCCTGCTGCGGTCTCAATGTATTTCAAGTGCTTGACGCGCTCATCGTTGGGGTTGGTGCGGAAGCGGTTCTTCTCATTATTGACGGCGCGGAAGATGTAGTATCCAATTCCCTGGACTGCGAGAACAGCAGCAATACCATTGAAACCAAGATCAACGGGGTAGACGCTCAAATAACGGGCCTGTATGCTGTATGTGAAGGGTACCCAGACGAGGTCGCCGAACGACAACATCATACCGAAACCGTCGGCGATGATATCGATTGTGGTGAGGATGGCGGGTTCCATGTAGAGGGCGTCGAAAGTATAGACTGTCTGTGCGATGGTGACGAGAATGATGGAGTCGGTGACGCGTCCGAAGTTGCGGTATTGCTGCATGATGAAAGCGAGATCCAAGATGATCCAACCGAGCATGCCAGGGCGAAGCTCACACCATGCTTTGATGTCAATTTCGCCGAAAATGGGTAGAGTCACACGGGGGTTGAGTTCGCGGCCGATGAACCAGTCGTACAGCATGTTACCAGTATGGCCACCGGCAGCAAGCTCACGCATGGAGGGGTCTTTGGGATGCTTGACACCAAAGGAGGCGACATAGCAGTAGGTGGCCAGGAAGTAGGAGATGAGGATGTTGGAGGTGAGGATGCCCACGTAGTTGTTCGAGATGAAAGCCCAGACAGGGAACTCAGCACCGTGAGAGATTGTGCCGGCTCCGAGAAGAGTCATGATGAAGAGAGCGGAATTCCAGGCTGATACATGTTAGCGGATTCATGGTCTTGGTCGCTGATCAAGAGTGTCCATACCATTAAAGCGGTACTTGAGCCGTCCGCCAGATGCCAGCTCCGTGCCATATGCTTCCTCGGCAGGAAGGAGGCGGTAGAGGGCAAGACTGAGGAGGTAGTAGGCCAACGTGCCAAGGAAAGCGTTGACATTGATCAGGCCGGAGAAACCCGTCCATCCAACCTCCTTCTTCAGTTGGTCCAAGTCCAAGCTGGCGGGGTGGAGGAGGGATGGCGCAGGACATCCTGAAATGTCATTGCAGAGAAAGGTGAAGACATAGACCAGGACTGGCAAACCAAACGAGATTATGAAGGCCCCAGGACTGGGAAGTCAGCATGATGATTGATGGTGTTGCGTGATTTGTGGAAGATGAGCACTCACGGTCCCAAGAACTCGTAGCCATGAGGCTCTTCAGCAACTGCAGTGACAGCCTTGTCTGTCTTGCTCTTGTTCGCCATTTTGATCTCCAAGTTGCAGGCACGTGAAAGAAAGTCTGCAATAGGGGTTGGGGGCAGGGGGGGGGAAGGAATAGGAGGGGGGTTTGTTATGACACGCGTGCCCGACCACGACGCCGCTCTCTCCAGCAGTGACAGGCCCTGTGTGTGTATGTTCACTGTTCAGCTGGTCAAGAGAGACAAGAATCTTATATAAGCGCTGGATAGAAAATGGTTCGATAGGCAACTTGTTCGGATGGTCAGGCAACTGAACATGACGTGGAACGGCAGATTGGTCGGCCCGCAAGTCAAAAGATCCGCGATGACGCGGTCACAGTGCCAAGTCCCAATCTAACCCGATTCGGTTGCAGGATGGACCGCGGCGCCAGCGGCTCCGGGCAAACGTGTTGCGTCGTGCAATCCTTGGGCCAAAGCACGGCGACGTCGACTATATTTTGTATGCATGTACATTGTACACACCTACTACGCATTTATCATCTCGTGTCGTTCGGGTGTTGGGTACCTGAGATTGAGACTGGTACTGAGGCTGAGACTGAGACTGAGACTGCCCGGGCACTGCCACTTAGCGTTCAAGATTCAAGCCACCGAGCACCGAGCCACCGAGCACTGAGCAGCTGCACAGTAGTAGGACTGACTCGTTGGTACGGTACCGTAGTACTGCTGCTCGTCATATCACACAGCACACGGTATACATAACTGCACTGCGCTCCACCATGCTGTCCCTCGGCCTGCTATCTACTATCGCTTTCCTCCTCCTTTCACCATACGCAGCTGCTGTCTCTGATAAACCACTCAAGCCATGCACTGTTGTCTCCCCAACTTCAGATCGCTTCTTTGATCTGAATCCTTTGCGACGGCTCCCACAGGCCGAGAGCGATAAGAAGAACAGGAAGGAGGGCGATGAGGGCAGTTGGCGTGCACGCGGCTACGACTATGGCGCCAACTTCACCATCAACTTCTGCGGTCCCGTGTTGGAAGAGCTAGACGCAGTGCAAGATCTGGACAAAGGGCTGTGGAGGAATGTGAGTGCTTTTTATGAAAAGGACGATAAGCAGTATGCTATTGGGTGAGTAGACACGCAAATCCAAGCTTCGAGCGCATGCTACAGAGACGATACCCACCGTCAGGAGACTTGAAGATGAAGAGCAAACAAGAACTACACAATCGCTAACTCCCCCTCCAACAGCCTCGAAAACTCAACTCCAATATTCCGCGGCCGCAAACTAATCCTCAACTACACCGGCGGCTCTCTCTGCCCATCCTCCAGTTCTCAGTCCGCACGCTCACAACCCCTGTCTCTCTACCCTCGCGCAATCATTGACGACGATGACGACAAGGACGCCGACGAGAGGCCCTCGAAGAAGAAACCCTCAGAAGACAGATCAGAGCGTCGCAAAACAACCATCATCTCCCTACTTTGCGACTCCGACCCTCTCGCCAAAACGAGTATCTCCTTTGTCGCGGCCGTAGACTCCTGCACGTACTTCTTTGAAGGCCGCTCGCCGCACGCATGTGGTGGAGTACACCAAGAAACACAGACACTGGGTCCAGGTGGTGTCTTCAGCGTCATCGCCCTCATCGCCGTACTTGTCTATTTCGCCGGAGGCTGTGTTTACCAGCGTACAGTCATGCACCAGCGAGGATGGAGACAACTGCCAAATTACAGCATGTGGGCGGGAATAGGGAGTTTTTTTGCGGTATGTATAGGTTCCTTTGTACCAAGGAGCGTGAGGCAAAAAATGAGTGGGCGTGGGGCAATGTTGGCGTGAAACAGGGGTGAGGATTGGCTGGGGACTTTCTGCAACGGAACGTTACTGATGCAGAACAGGATCTTTTCATCATTCTCACTTCCTCGCTCGCTCGGCTCATGCCTTCGAGGCGGGGTTACAGCCGTGTTAGTCTGGGACAGGACAGCGGACGAGGGGGCAGAGGGGGGAGGAACGAGGATGAGAATCGGCTGATTGATAACCTGGATGAGGAGTGGGATGATTAGATGTTGATATACACTTGGGCAAGACATCTGACGTGGCATATTGGCGCATGGGCGTTCGCGGGATCCCTGGGTTTGGGGTCATGGCCACACACTGATCGCCAGAATAGGCCTGAGGTCAGGCCTACAAACAATACGAATTCATTTACGCTCATGGCTGTGTGTCAAATTGCTGCATATCCATGATTTTGTTGAAGCAGCTTGATTGTTATACTATGCTGCCTCTACAGGCGTCGTGCTCTGTCTTCGTGGTGCGAAAGTCCCCTCATGGATGTGAAAGAAGCGCTCCTTGGCTTTTGATTCAAGCGTATCGCCACTACTACCCACAAAAGAAGTTACAAATAGGAAAGCACGGTGACGACGTAAAAGGTAGCGTCATAAAGGTGCCACTGTACTGCCATGTCTCAGCAGCGTTGCTTAGATCTGAAGGGCCGTGAGGCGCAAGCCCTGCAGTTGATGACGTTAAACGCAGAGAGCGAATCGACCCGAGGTTGGCGAAGTTTTTTGAAAAATTCAAGGCTGAGAGTGGAACATAATGCGAGCGGTGTGGGAATGATCAATTGGGTCTCAGTTATCATCCTCCGTGTCGTCTTCCTGGTGTACTACCTCAATATTTGGACATTCGCTGCCTGGCCTCGCTGTACTCTTGCTGGGGTTCAATTCGGTGATCAGGGCATCATCCACACCAGTCATGACGCTGTCCTCGTTATCTTCGTAGACACTCACATCCTGCGCGTCCTCAGAGATGTCATGTTCGTCATCCATAATCACGGAGGCTTTATCCTCATATTCCCCAGCGCCCATGTCTAGATGCCCATTTACAATGTTCGCAAATTGCTCATCGACATTCATCAGCAGCTCCCTGCTCTCTTTTCTCGCCGCCCTCTCTTCCCTTCCTTGCAACATCATCGAGCCGTTGATCTCACGGCCGGCAAGCGCTTGCATATAATCCCTGTTCATCTGGACAAAGATCTCGTCGGCTTTGGCCTCCATGGACTCCTGGAGCGCCTTACACATTTGGTCAAGATGCCTCTCAACTGTCTTGGTAGCATCATGGAACATGTGATGGCGCTCCCGCTCGACATGATTCATCATATGTTCCTTCATGCGCTTGTAGCTACCGCGACCGCGTTCGACGGTACAGGCCTCATAAACTGCATGCATGATACCGGCGATGCTAGGTGTAAACTCCCGATTGGCTTCACGCTGTAGCTCATTCATTTGGGTGACGAGATGTGTACCGAGGTCCGCGTAGAGCTGCTCATAGGTGTGGATTTGAGTCTTGAGCATTGTAAGGCTAGCAAGACCAACTCCGTTCTTGCGCGCGTTTTCTTCAACAGCGGTATGGAATGCTTGTAAGATCTTGCTAGAGTTTTTTACGTACGTGTTGAAGGCCTTGGGTAGGCGGCTCTGGAAAGCGCGTTCCCAGCCGGAGGCGAGCTTCTTGATGATAGGATCTATACTGATCTTGGTGTCAGCAATATATTACAATGATGACTCCACAAGCCTTACAGATCGGCGTTGAAATCTCGAAGACCTGCGCTTGGTGATTGATAAACGCCATCACGCCTCACCACAGCTTTGTACGTTGACCAGGCCAAACCGCCCATATCCTTCTGACCCCAGGCTAACGCTGTAGTAGGTGCAGCCTGAATAGCATCGTTGATCAACTCAGGACACTTGTTGAAGATTTGATTCTTGAGTTCTGCTCGCATCTCGTTGATACAAGCGTGGACTGCTTGCTCGAGGCCTGTCTCTAATTGTTCGAGTCGCCCTTTGAGATAGCTAACTTGTTTTGCCTTGTCCTCATCTGTCATCTTCAGACCAGTGCCATCGTCAGAAGCCCAGAGATGGAAGGTAGTCAAAAGTTGGCACAAGTTGAGAAGAAAGGTTCTCGCAGTCTGAATACGCCCACTCTCGGTCAGCTTCTTGCAGTGAGCCTGCAGCTGTGGTATTTCAGTCTCCTCGACCGTAATAAAACCTGGAACACTATCGTCCTTGAGCAAGCGACCTTGTATCTTCTGGTACGCTCGGCTACTAACGCAGAAAACGGGTAGTGACTTCGCGACCTGGTCATAGTCTCTAACCTCTTCCTCGGGGTTGAAGTTGTCCTCGTCTTCTTCTGCGGCATTTTCTTGGTCAATCTCTTTGATACCAGCAGCAAAGTCGTTTTGAATCGCAGTCTTTGAGTACTGATTACGTCCAGCGATACAGATGCGACTTATCTTGGCTTTGATTCCATCGATCTTCTTGGCCAATTCCTGTATCTGTGGTTCCAAAGCGTCCATCTCATGCTTTTTATCAAAAGCTGCTCGTCTGGCCTCTTTCTTTACATCCTTCAGCTCCTTCAGTCTTAGCTTTATGTCTGCCTCCGATAGCGGTGTTTGTTGTGACTCATCGACGGGTGCTTCGTCGTCCTCAGTTTCTTCGTCGTCAGTAGCGACAAAGTTGTCTTCTGAGTCGCCGTCATCGCGGGTAACCTTCTTTCTTGATTGTTTACCAGAGCTTGGCCTCTTACGTTTCTTTGATCCTAGCAATGGGGAGTAAACTGTCTTCCCATCGTCTATTAAATCCTGGAGGTCCTCCCATTCCTCAATCTCCTCAATCGTGTCGTTCAGAACAAGCTTATAATGGGCTTGTTCATCTCTTAGTTTTGAAATGTCATTTTCGATCTTCTTGATCTGATTTTTACATTCGACCTGTTCTCTTTCAAACTCCGCGATCTCATCCTCAAGCTCTAAGCTATCGATGGCTTCTGTAATGGAGATATCGTCGGTCTTGGAGCAGATGAAAGTGATACTCGAGAAGCCACCATCATATTTGAGCTGACGCTTGAAGGAGTTTCCCAGCAGTGTTTTGGCAGCCTTGTCGTCCACTGCTCGATTGATAGGCGCGACAATCCATAGGCCGGTGCAGCGCTTCATATAACCCTGGGCCACAGCTGCTCGAGCAGCATTTGAATCGTGAACACCTGGAAGATCCACAATACAAGCTCCTGTTGATAATGCAGGGCTCTTCGTGTAGATCTTGACAACTTTGATCAAGGGCCAATACTCCATCTGGAACGCCGTTTTCTTGTCCTTGTCTTTGTTCTTTTTGGTGACCTTCTCCCTACTATCGACATATTTCTGCAGCTTATTGTAAAAGCGGCCTGACACCGCAGCGGCAATTCTCTTGGTTGACCCGAGAATTGTAGCAATAGAAGGCTTAGCCATCAGGTTGGGCACAGTACAGTCACCTATAGAGTCTCGCGGGATGTCAGGGTAAACAGAGTGAAATCTAGCCCAAGCGATTCCCGCGTCGGAATTGGGATCAGATACGTCTTTGAGGAGTGTGCCATTGTCAGTCAGGAATTCTTTCAGCAACATGTGTAGCTCTTTCTCCCAGTCTGCGTGGCCAATAAATTCTATTTCCGCACGATACCTATCAGAGGAATCTGTGCTGGCGTTCCATGAGATCTCGGTAACGACGGCGGTACACGCTCGCATGCAATTAGTTGGAACAAGTCGCTCCTCGTCGAGCAGGGCATTGATAACGCTGCTCTTACCAGCCCCTGTATTGCCGACTACTCCAACAACTGTACGTAGCCGCTGAGCCTGTGGCAGCAACTTATCGATGGCTTGTACCCATGACGCAGACTCATTATTTGTGGCCGCATGCTGCGCGAATCTTGCTCGCAATTCCTTCAAGACTTCGACCGCCTTGCTCACACCTGCTTCTAGTATCAGAGGATCTCGCTGGTCGATGATTTCTCTGATATCCTGTTGAGGCATTGTAGTTACTTCCTCCTGACCTTCCAGCAATGGCTGGTTTTGGAAAATCTCTTCGGAGTTAAATGACGGCGTCGAATGATCTTCTGCGCTATGAATGCTGGATGACTCTGTGTGTAACAGTGGCAACTGTTGTTCGCTTTTGACCATTGTTTGACCATGGCTAGTCGCACTTCCATAGTTTTCACATTGCGCGTGAGCCCCAAATAAAGCTAGACCGGGAGGAGCAAGGGAACCAGTGGGGCCAGCGTTTGGGAGATTAGCTGGGAGTATCTGGTTCATCCCAAACGGATACGGACTGGTGTATGGGGTTTGATAAGGAACCTGCGCCGGAACAGGGGCACGGTTTGCGACCTCTGCTTGGTCTCCAAATGGAGTCCAGGGGGCAAACGTGTCGGGTGATTTGACAGTGAGTGGATCAGGGACAGCTCTTCTCGGAGGAATTTCATGTTCCACAGGCGCAGAATTGGGAGTGCATTTAAGCGCGGACACTTTCATTTCTGAAGGACCATCTAAGAATGGAATACTCATCGTGCGTGAGACAAGATGGGCACCTGGACTGTCCTCTGACTGATGTAGGATATCTGCTTGGAACTCCTTCGAGTCTTTGCACAGCAAATCTGTGCTTGCAAAGGACTCCGGAGGTGTTCGGCCCTTCTCAGGCCGACTCGCTAGGAACAACACAAGATTGTCGCCCGCGGTTTGGAAAGACTTCACAACATCGCCTGGTTGCACTGAAACACCTTTGTGCTTGAGCTCAAGGCCATCAACGTTGAAATGTTTCTGATAGGTCTCATAAATCTTCTGTGTGGTTATTTTCTACTAGTGGTCAGCAATGAGAAGACGGGTTTCCAGGCTTCAGTAACCAACACTGTGACCGACCATCCACAAAAAGTCGGTTTCACGGAGTCGGTCTGTGGGTTTCTTCTCATGCGACAGAACACCAATCCAGCAGCGCTTTGGTTTGAGCTCCTGTGCGGGTAGCACTGCCCTGGCTCTCTGCTGGAAATCGGCCCAGTCTTCCATTTTGAATGCGAATCAACAGAGCATCGCCCGTTAGGTAGGAAGAAGGATGTGTACGACACTATTGGCCGCGATAGTTTCAAAAGTAAAGCGTATTCAGGCGGATCCAACGGTGGCAGAGGGCTGATAGCCAGTGAAGGCTGCGATACGCCTCATTGGAGGTTTGCGAGAACCAGTGAACGTGAACGGAAACAAGTTGACATCATGCCGACGGTGAACTGATGGGGTCGACAGGATCTTGTACGAAGCACGCTAGCGTAGACGCTAAGTTGAGACGCGTCGGTTCGTTGCTACTCCGTCGATCCTTCACACTCACCGCACTCCTTACTCTCTATCCCCATCAGATCTCAGATTCACAGCAGAACGCGCTTTGCTGGAAGTTGCTGGAAGCAGTGCAGGGTTTGTCTATGCAGAAATCAAGAAGCGAACAGGGTCAACACAGCTTTTGGGATTCAAGAGCGCGTATACTGTCTTAGAGCGAGACACCTCACCGCCACTGTCGGTTGAGAGCATCGTGTTACAGCTGTGCGGGTCACTCACACGCCGTCACGTGATATGAAGCAGTGCATACATCTACCTACCACACATGCATACCTGCTAGCCCTTGGAGACACGAAACACTTCGATGATGGAATTTTTGTCCGACCTTCCGTCCAAGCACACGACTCTCAACACTGCCCGCTCATTTGATGGTCTTGATATAAACATCACCGTCTCCCGCAGCTTCTTTGGGCCACGGGAAGACCTGCAGCAATATAATGTCTCGCCGTACTATACGCTACCTAACCAAGCGCTAGGTATGGTACCGGCACGATTTCAAACCTGTCCCGTCCCGTCCCATATTTCATTGCCAAATACCATGAGAACAGTCCTAGCACTACCTGCCCTGCACAGTGTGCTAGCATGTTCTTGTTAGAATTCTGGGCTTCCACGACGGTCTGGCGCACAGTGTCCTGTCTCGCCTTTGTTCTACTTGGCATGTTGACTTTCAACAGTTGGCGAACAGTGTTCGCCTTGTTAGCTCAATTTCATCGCAGCGCTTTGTCCCATTGTCTCCCAGAGAATGCCCACAATGGCATTGTCGAACATGTGTTCATATATGGCAATCATATCTGGTACAATCCAGCAAGTCAGAACATTACCTTTTTCAACACGATGGCATCACCAACTTCATTACAGGCGTCTCACTCATCATCGCATTCTGCACTTCCACCAACGCAACGGACTGAATTACGCAGATATGGTGGTATAAATGCTCTCATCGCCGCATGCAACAGCGATGATCGCTTCAAGCTCCTCGAAGACGATGCTGTGCGATCTGGCAACCTAGAGAACCCCATACACCCCGTATTCAGTTCTCTCGCCCTGGATAAAACAAGCAATTACATACAGGCCATGCGTTTTGCTTCCCATCTTCTTACTCACGAGTCTCTTCTCATCTTCTTCATACCGTTGTTATACGGGCGACAATTGACTACCTACATGGATGGAGTAGAGAGGACCTATTTGTCTGATCCCCTCGCCAATGTTTCTAACCAGCAACAGCAAGAGTATCTCGATGGAGTACGGGAAGCTCTACACTGCCTTGGTCATAGTACACGAATCGAATTTGTCCCGCCGTTGCACAGAGTCTATGCTCGAACAAAGCGAACTAGCACAAAACCGGCACACACAACGAAATGCTGTTCTCGTTTTCAAAGGATGTGGTCACCGTGCATTGAGATCGTAGATTACTTTAAAACGTACTATGAAAAGGGGTATAGTAACGCCTCGAGATGTGAGCAATTCCGGCATGATTTTCTTTTTGCTATCACGCTTGTTCATGAAATCATCCATGCTTTTGGTGTGCTACAAAGAGGTAATTTGTATGAACCATACATCCGCGCTGACGACCCTAATGCCGAGTGGGGTTGGGCATGGGAGAACTTCATGTTCGGCTGCATTATCAATCCCCTGCAGAGATCACTACCCGGCACACACTTACTCATGCGCAAGATCTGGGCTGATGACCAAGCGGCCAAAGCAGCCGGAGGGAAAGAGTATTATGATGTACCAATGGCTTGGATCGCGCAATGGTTTCGTGAAGAAACGTGGCACATTGTCGCGGAACGAGGACCAGCAGCCATTGCGCCGCCCACGACACACTTCAAGATACAGTCATCTGAGAGACTGGGCTCCTGGATCATAAGTAGTGATCTATACGACGTCAAATACGATCTACTAGCTCTCCACAATCTGTGGAAGGCGCGAGGTGATAACCCTTCCCCGACCTTGCCGAACAAGGCGTATACACCTCCAGTGGCCACATCGCCGCCACTCCCTGCTGTCCGATCTCGTTTGTCTAGGTTGCTTTGGCGTTTCCAAAGTACAGAAAAACTGCAAAAGTCAAACGTGAAAATACCAGTCCGAGAACGACGGCGAGTGATGACGTGTACAGGATGCGGACAATTCCTACCCAACATGGGACAGAGAACAAATTCGAGCACACAACAGCTTACCCAAGACCCTCAGGGACTTTTAATATCTGATGAAGCCATGGCTGAATGTACCTATTTGTGTTTGTGTGGGCCTTCATGCCATACTACGGCTCGATCAAGGTCTGGCACCCCTTCCTCAAATGCTTCATCCAAACGATCGCATGATTCAGATGGTGCAGAGGATCGTTCTTACAAACGAAGGAAAACTTCAATTTAATTCCTCTTAGGAGTCGATATCCCAGTCTCTTTGTTGGATATTACAAACCGGATGCGCCGAATATCGATCTCGATAACTTCATAAGATCGATTATACCGGCCAATTGATGTCTGCTGATTCCGTAGATAACCATAGAAAGTAAAGTTTGGTAGCATGATCAGTGAATCACAATTAGAATATTCTATGTTAGATTCAATCATACAACCCTAGGTCTAGCTTAGATCCTGCAATAGGTTCAAACGGTATGTCTGTGGTCAAACGATGTTGTACGCGAGTTTGGGTTCTCGTCGTTGCTTTGCAGTCCCAATTATAGATTCTTAAGTCAAGTGGTCACTAGAATCAATGATAAAGTGTAATATTTGCTAGGACTACACTTCTATCTTGGACTCATGGAGAGATAGCTCATTCACACGGGAGCTGCATGGCTGAATGGCACTCAGCGCCAAACGCCCACTCGTGATGTTTGAACAAAATACGACGAGAGAGAACATCAGCAGTCTGCTCTAAGAACCTAATATATTAAGAAAAGTGCAGGGTCCAAGTGAAAAACCTTCTTGAATCACTATGTCGAAGTGAAGGTGGGGGTCGCACTGGAAAGAAACGGTCATCAGCATACATGGCACCCCATATACCATAGGTAGTCGTCTTTATTCAATTGATACATACCTAGGTACCTACCAGTGATTGGATCGTATTGTGCCCCTTAACTAAAGTAGACATCTGATCCAACGCCACTAATAGCATGATCCGGGGTGGTATCCAAACGGGGACAGGCAAAGAGCCTGCCGGGAAAGGTACCTAGTGAGGAGGATCTATGATCTATGTGTAGCATCAAGGCGAATTTGCAATCCAAATGCATCGGTTGTATGCAATTAAGAGTAGTATAGACTTGACATAAGCCTCTGGCTAGCAAGGGGGTTGCCACGGTGACGCAGTTGATCATGACCTCGACGAGTGACTCAAGAGCCACTGGCAGGTCTTCAATCGTGTTGCGAAGGGAATGCCGGAATTACCGCAGAAAAGCTTCTTAGTAGAATCTCGAAGCATCCCATAGACCATCAATTGGATTTATTATATCTTGGCATGACTGCGCAGCTGCGGAGTCTTCCGGGGCTCTGCTCGATCTTGTCGACGTGTCGGACAACCTTACGTACCATCGTTACTATGACTTCTCTCGCGCCCTCCACTGGTGGCGTAAATTTTCACAATATGTCTAATTGAAATAATTGTACCTGAATCAATACTAGTAATCTATTGAAGGCCCCTATGCAGGTCAAGATCACATGACAAGTGAGTTGTGGTCGGCTGTAGCGCGTGCCCGGGCGTATGTTCAGTTACCTACCGGTACCGGTACCGGTACTGCAGAAAGTCGAATTTTGAGTACCGTACACCGAACCCACACACTATTGCCACGCCGCTCTTCACCTCGCGCAACAACTTGAAACGAAAACAGCTCAATTACTCTTTTTCCTAAGTCAGAGTCACATCTTGCCACTTATAGTTGACTCTGGGCCTTCCGATTTCCTGGTCGTAATTGCCTGCGACACCCGACCGGGTGCTCACTGATTGCTGCAATTACTCAATGACAGTATTGTAGTTGTCTTCACCTCTACGTCTCGAAGCTAGACTTAGCGTTTGTTAAGAAAATAGGCACGGGTAACCGTCAAACGAGCCACGGACAGCTGTATCATCGAGGTCTCTTCCTCCCACATCGCTTGACTTTGACAGCCACTGCAACCTTGGCTTCAACACCACACTCCAACGCCATCATGGTTCCCCCTACCGATATCTCATACAATCCTTCTCGGAGCAATGCTCCCTCTTCATCACTTCCAGAGCACATGCATGGCCTCATCGACCTTGCCACTCTCGCCGATATGAACCGGTTCCTCGGTGAGAGCCTTTCACAGGATGACCTCGCCTTGGCTGGCTGGATAAAAGAAAACTTCCTCTACGAGCCTCTGCAGCAAACCAGCAGGCCCGTTCGTACACCAGAAGGCTTCAACAAACTTGACCATGCCTATCGACGCGTGCGATCACTCACCAACAAGGTCCAAGACAAGTGGCCCTTCTTTGACCAAAACTTCAAGGCCATGTCTACGAGTACCGTACGAAACAATTCTCGTGGTGAGATCTCACCGGGCGTCATGTTCCAGCACAAGCATGGCGCAGCGCAAGTAAACGGTGGCAATCCTACGAACGGTAAATATCTGCACAGTCTGGTTTTTTTGGACACGACTAACTTCACCACGATATAGCTTCGCCGACACCTGAGCTACAAGTGCCATTTGGTGCGCATCAGCTGGGCCGAAATCGTTTCCAAAGGAAAGACCCCGTGGACTTCTCTGAACATGAGCTTGCCCCACCTCCTTCGAAACTGTTGACCCCACCAAAGTCGTCACCAGAGAAAGTAGGCCAGTTTACTTCCTCAAGTTCGAGTCCGTCTCTGCAGTCAACTACAGTGGATCCCACCAAGTTTGTCGGCCTGATACAGTATACTGGTATGTGACAGCATTCTGGCAGTTGCTTCCTCATCTCACAGTGGGACAATATTTCCTTTGAGCCAAAAATCAAAACATTACTAACTGCAAAGCTCCAGATATGATTTACAATCCCTCTAGACAACCTAGTTCCCAACCGGAGGCAGTAATTCTGGACGGCAAACAGATTGCCTGTGACGCGTCCCATGATATTGTACCCATACAGACAGACAATGACCCCGAGCGTAACACCAATGATTTGCGCGCGGCAGGAGTCGGATCAGATTTGACGGCACTGCGTAACCCTAATGTTGGCAATATCCGCGGTACGAACGGTCGTTTTCGGCCGAGAAAGATGTTAGAGTCAGCCTCAGATAAGACTACACAGAGTCACGCCGCCAAAGTTAAACTGGACAGAAAGTGCAAGTACACCTAGACTTCTTAAGAGAATCATGTGTCACCAAAGACATCAACTAACAAGCCTTAAGCAAAATCTAAGTCTATCATGGGAACAAAAGCTAGGCCAGCGACAACACCCTCATCTGTCTCCATTCCCGCGAACAGCTATGACTCCATGCCTACTGTCCAATCACCATATAATCCATTCAAAACCGAATATATTGAGAATAACGAGGCGACAGGGCTCCCTTTCTTGGGCCTAACCCTGGTTGTTCACGATGAGGAGACGGCCGATGTTGTCGTCAAACCTGAAAAGCCACGAGTTCGATTCAGTGATGTCATATCCGAAGGTAAGATCTGTCAAATCCGGAGAGGTCATTGTTATAAGCGCTAACTTATCTTAAGATTCCTCTTCTTCCTATTCACTCGCTGTCGAATCAGATCCTGTAGTCTCCAACCTCGACAGGCTTCCTCCAAAATCACTTAGGCGTGCTATCAAACGCAAGAGCATGTCGAGCTCCCAGACCATATCCCGCAAACGAGCTCGATCGTCCAAATTAGGAGACGCGTCTGTCGCATTTGGGAGAGATGCTACAATCGGTGCTGATATCGCGCAAGAAGATGAAAAGATTGGTGTCATAACTCGCCGTAGCACACGACGCTCTGTCGCTGCAGAAAATGACATGAGAACGATTGCGAAGATCAAAAAAACTAAAGACGAGCCTGACAGGAATAATGAAGAACCCAAGTTTGAAGACGAAGATGCTACGATGGTTGATGTCGAGGCGGAACGTTCAACGACAGGTCAGGAGAAGCTGACGCCAATCTCCAGTCTCAAGGCGAGTAAGGCCCTACCAAAGGTTGTCCCTAGATCGACTTCGCAGCCGAGCGTGCCTGAAGCATCAATTCCTGTCGACAAGTCAGCCTCTAGGATTTTTGCCCCCGGGTTGCAAATGTCTCCCACACAAGAGACCGCAAGCAGCTTCACACAAGTGCCGCAGCTTCACAGTGAGTCTTTGTAAGCCTATTAATGTGTGAACAATATAGCTAACGAAATTGCAGCCCCGCCTTCAATTGCCATTGATGTCCAGCAAACCGTACCCACCAAGTCAGAAGTAGGCAAAGTTGAGTACTTCGCTCGTGTCCACACCACGACTGGACCCAGGGAAATCTCCATATCTGCAGACAAGATCAAGGATGAAGACAAACAGCTCTTGAAGAAGTACGCTGTATTTGTATCAAAGAAGGAATCAGCGGTTATTGATTTCGATGTGTACCGTGAGATCTACGTGTCTGCGAAGTAATCGTAAGGGTATCACTCCGCACAAATATAGGCCTACGCATCACTTGAGGACAACGGTTGATGGAATATGGACTGTCTGCGCACTGAACAGCATGGATGCTACCAAGAGCCTGTTTTGCTGCTACTACAACGGGGACTTTTGGCCTTTTTTCTTCTTGGCCATCACCAAGGTGGCCAAAGTTGCATAGATTGTGCCTCATGAACAATATTTCCAGGAAGACACACCTCCAGCATGCTCTTGTTTAAAACATTGGATAGGTACTCGTTGCCACGGATCCAAGGTGACTGTAAAATATTAGTTAGAATACGGCTCACTTGCCTTCATGATTTGATCCATCTATGCTCGTGACATAACGGCACGTCACGCAGTAGCCCATCCTTTGCATCCTTCCAACTCTCACTTGTCATCATTGCTCAATTCGACGCTTCCTCTCAAGACCGCTTCCTTTAACTCTCCAACCTCTAATGCCCAAACGAAATCAACGCACACTATTCATGCCGAAGCCTCGACATACCCCCCCATGATCATGCCCATCCCTTCTCTTTGTGCATAATAAGTCCCACATATCCATGCCTCAGATTCTAGACCCCTGCCAGATAAATTAGCACATTTGCACATGCCGAATTCGCCAGGGCCAGGGGCGTCGTGTTAGAGAATAGTAGTAGGTAAGAAGCTCACTGTGAGGAAGAAGAGAGAAAGAGGCAGGGCTTCGTGTCAGGACCGTGAGGGAGAAGATCAGAAGAGAAAGTCTGTTGGCTACGTCGGTATTTGAGCATAGCTGAGGCGCGGAGATGGGCGTGCAGTTGGTTTCTGCTTCCAAAGAGAGAATGTGGACATGGGTCTGAGATCCTGCTTTATGGTGTCATGGAAGACGTTTCTTGTGTGAGCAGATGGTGTGTATGTGGAGTTTGTCTAACCGGTGAAGAGATATTCAGATAGCGCGACTTCTCTGTGTGATGTTTATCCTTTGCGACTTTAAACACAATGTACAAACAGGTTGTCCATGCAACTTGGTGATTCTTTTCTTTTCGAAATTGGCAGCCAACTACAGGTTACTGCACTTCTCTCTACAAGGCATTACAACAAGTGCCCTTGGGCTTCTACATGACTATAACCGATATCGGCCTTGAGTCACACACCGTGAAGGCGCAAATGATATCAAGAAAAAGCAGCATATGTAGATGAGAGATCCATAGAAAGGACCACAGACGCCAGATTGGCGATTGGGGTTCATGCACGTGTCTACACATTTACATTGTATCAGCAATTCTACTTCCAATATTGCTAGAGTGACACGCGCAAGAACGAATTATCTACAGTAAACACACACTTCCCCAATAAAAACTTCCCTATCTTCCATCTCTACCCATTACTCTTCCTTTATACACCAGCAAGTCTCCGTCTCTCTCCGACACCTCATCTTACTTTCTCATCGATCTTCAGGAGGCATGGCTGATCTCCTAGTACGGCGCCCTCCCAACCCCATGTCTTTCCAACTCCTCTATTCCCGCATTCCTACCATTCCCCTCTTCCTCCTCTTCATCAACCCCAATACTATCCAAAAACATCTTGAAATCCGGTTTATCCACCGCTCTTAATGACCCACTCCCTCTGTTCTTCCTCTCTCCACTACGCCCTCTGCTTGTCCCGCTCTTGACGCTTCTATCCTGCTTCACCATAGCGTTCGTCGCGCCGTCGCCGTTGGCCCCAGCTTCAGGTGTTGCCGCAAAATCTCTTGTATCCGAGTCTCCCAGTGAGCTAGATTTGGGACTATGCTGATCGAGTCTGAAGCCCAAGTCCTGATTTAGAGGGCTGACAACCGCTGAAGAACTGCGAAGGGCGTCTGGGATGGGGGGAACTGGTGGGACAGTATCTGCGCCCATTTTCCTTGCGTCAACATAGCTCTGTGCACCCTCCATACCCAGTAAGTTCGTGGTCGCCGTTCCTGGCCTAGGCGTCATGGTTGCAGCGGGAGTTTCTGGGCCCTCGCTGATTGCACTGGCTCGAGGATCACCATTGCCACTCGGGTCTGCAGTCAAGAAGGACGCATCGGAGAGCGAATGAACACTGACCATACTATCACTCTCACTCTCATCAAATATTTCTTTTCTATGTTGACTCGCAGCGCGCTGATTGTAACTCGATCGCGGTGCGCCGCCGTGACTAGTTGAAAGCGCCCGGCGCAAGTCGTCAACACGCACAGTACTTCTGACGGAACTCGAACTTCCCAAGTCACCGCCGGAACTGCGACTTCGTCCCGGGCTACCCATGAGACCGTATGCTGCAGCACTTGGGGGGCGGCTGTGGGCGCGTCGAGGACTAGGGCTGACAGGAGAATTTGTACCACTATCTAATCGACTGTTGGGAATATTCACGCCGAGATAATTACTCCTATGAGTAGCAGTGTAGTGCGTTCCACTTCTTGAGCCAGATATTGATGCAGAAGAAGAGTCCTTGGAATTTGCAGCGAGACAAGCATCACGTGACCATTCTGCGAGCAGATCCTCACGAACCTTGTATGAGAGGCTTGGCGCATCGTTGTGGTTGGAAGTCTGGTGAGTGGGTTGATGGATGGCAGGAATCATGGTGCTAGAGTTTGACATTGATCGGCCTGGAGATCCTGGAGGTGATGAAGGAGGTGAGTTTAGTGACAATGCGTAACCGTCCGATATCTTCTCGACCAGCGCTTCACGGTTATCGAAGGGCTTGAGAGCTTCTTTTTCGACGACTTCGCTCGGGAGGCTAAAGGTGGAGGGGTGAGGGGTGGGAATCAGGTCGATGGGCATGGGCGGGACGCTGATGCTTTTTACCCAGAGACCTTTGTTGCTACGGCGTGTGATTTCGTTGTGTAAGGCGCGACCGACGGCGGTGGTTTCGAAGTCAAGAGCTGTGCTAAGCGCCCAGAGGTAGCCATGGACTAGACTGCCTAACCTAACTTTGGCGCCAGGACTGTCGATGGTGGCGATATCTTCTTGGAGGCGCATGATCATGGGTAGGCCAGTCCTTGCCGCGTTGACGCCCAGCCTGTTGACCAGTGTTGTTAGGAGGAGATGGAGAAGCAGGTAGTCCGCTTCTGAATCGACATAATGCAGTGCATTCTCGTACACGGCCAAGTGAACAAGCGACAAAAAAGTGTCTTTGCCCTTCCTTGGGCCCTTTTCGCGTGGCGAGGCATTCGACACGGCGCGTCTGGTCAATGCACTCTTTTCGCCTTCCTTCTCTTTTCTTCTGTAGTTGTCCACAATTGTCAAATCTTGCTTCTTTTTCTCCGAATTGAGCCAAGTAACCAATGCGTCGACATAAGCCTTCCGCACTTTCCCACTAGGATCACGTAGGAGCCATTGTGTGCCTTCCCAAACACTCACGCCGACTTTGCTTCTTGCAACAGATGCAGAGGAGCTGCCTGGTAGCCGAGCATTTGCAGTATTGATAATGGCCTTGACTGACTCCAGGGCGGTTATGCGCGCAGTCTCAAAGGAGAAAAAGCGGTCGACATACTTCTTCTCCTGCATGTTGATCGAATCCGCGACGGCATCTATCGCTCCTTCAGGGTTCTGAATCGCATCTGCCGTTGAAGAAATGCTAGATAGACGCGATGGTTTGAGACGACTTAGTATGGCTTCAACCATGTCTGATACTTGATCAGTGTAATAGACATGTGTTGCCAAGTCTGCCATGCTCTTCTGCATAAGCTCCAGTAGTTGCACTCTGGCGTCCGAGGGCTCCTTGACAACCTCCGTGATCAGGTCGGATGAGTCGCCCGAGGAGCTCGGGCCACCAGCATCGTTTCCGGGGCCCATTACTGATGTAGTTTGCTGATGATGTGGAAGAATGGTAGAGCCCGGACCCCCGAGCTGGAGTAATAGTAGTGTGTGAGAGATGAGACCGACGAGGACATCCATGACACTAAGACCGATGAAATTGATGGCGGACGCAAGCAGATGGTCAATGATGGCTGCCAAAACAATCTGACGCTCCAAGTCCTCCTCGACGATGGGACTGCGAACAAGTGCTTCAACGATGCCAACGAGAATCGTGTACCGGTCCTGCACAGGAGCCCACGCGCAGATGGTAGCCATGAGCGTTGTTGCCCAACTCGTGCTGCTGCCCTCGGCATGCTGTGGCGACTTGACTTTGGTTGCAACAAAGTCCAAGACGGCCGACGTTGCAAAGCGCAAGAGTCCACGGTTCACCCCTTGAAAGATATTTCTTATTGCCTGAAGTGCCAGTACACCCACCTCCTCTTCTGCCAGCTTATCCGCATCTTCTGTGGTGCCAGACGCAGCAATCGCATCGCCGCCTTCGTCCTCGTCTGTTCGTGCAGTAGACACGCTCTGCCTCCTCCTCATGACCATGTCCTTTTCAAGCTCACCCTGCTCCGCCTCCCTCGCCTGCAACCTCTTGAGATAGATGGCATCTTCGGCATAAAGATTGAGCAGGATGACGGGTAGAATCGCCTGCAGCTGCCTCCCCGTCTGGCTGCCCAGGCTCTCTGAGCTGCCCACGGCCTTGAGTGCCATGAGGCCCGCCTTGCGATACCTGATTGCAACCGGCCAACTCACCGGCGTCTTGCCCGTCTTGAGTGTTTCCTTTGCAGCGAACTGTGCATAGGCCTGTACGACCTCCTCGTAGAGTCTAATGTACTCGCCATCCGCTGCCAGCGCCGCAGGTTCCTGATGTCTGCACAGTGCCTCAAACGTCGGCACACTCTCCTCCACCATGTCTATGACCCCGCTCCCCAAAATGGTTCTCAAGATGCACAAGACGGCATCGGCATACAGCGGTAGATCGCGTGGACACTTTTCAATCAACGCCTTGACAATCTGCAGCGTCACCGAAACACTGCCCGTGCTATTCTTCCACACATCCTTGGTTGCGCGCTTATCGAGGAAGGCGCAGACTTTCTGCAATTTGCTGCGTCGCGTGCTGGCGTAGTAGAGGAGGTACGAGAGCTCCGACGAGTTGGCGCGCGCAGGAGCCGTCGACTTTGTGAATTTGGGGTAGCATTTGAGGACGAGAACTTGGTGTTTTGGGCGACAGGCTTGTCGTGCTGCCTTCATTGGAGCGGGCCAGCAGGCCGAGGTGAAGGTGGTGGGGTGGTGTGGGGGAGGGGAGGGACAGGAAGGTGGTGAGGTGTGGTCAGGATAGTTACTGCCGGTCAGGTTGCGGCTGGGGGCGGGAGAGGGCGTTGAGGTGCTCCTTCAAGGGGAGGGGTGGAAGCGAAAGAGAATGGCGATGCCTGTGCTGTATGCGATGGATGAAGGATGCACGGGTATACGTGAGCACGTGCGTTGTTGGTGTTGGTGTGTATGTAAGCCTCGCCCTGAATGGGACCGTACCTTACCAGGTGTCCTAGTGTCGGTTGGCAGTGGGTAATCATCAGCATCAACGCCGGATGAAAGGTGTCGGGTGGTGGTGATGCACGTTGCCGGGGATGAGGAGAATGTG